TTCCAAAATTTCTAGAAAGTTTAAGACGGCCCCGCAGTATTTTGTCTGTTACAGATGATAATGTAAGTGGACCTAGACTTCCTTTTCTTATCATCACTTTCTAGAACCTCTGAGTGAAAAGTCCAGCAGAAGCCTCTGGGTCCAGACTTGGACTGAATCCTAGAGAAATAATGACTCACAGCTGAGCCCAAGGACTGTTCTGAAGGGTTCTCATTGCTGGATCTCATGAATTCTCATCCATTCCAGAATCTGCTTGCAAACCTCTCTGGGTTGGGCTCCCAGGTCACCAGACCAGGCTGCTGAGCATATGTGTTCTATGACCGTGTCACCCCTGGGCCTCACCCCAGTTCTAGGCCCTGTCTATGAAGAGTAGAGGCCTTTCCTTCCCTGTCTGCACTCAACAAGTCCTTCTTTGGTTTGCAGTGATCCTCCATACCCCTGGTGTCTCCTTGGTTCATGCTTTCAACATTCGTGGCTCTTCTCTGAGCCACTTCCTCCAGCTAGTTGGGCTGCCACAAGCGTATTTACCCACTCGTTATTAAGAAGGCGGTGTGGAATACTGGAAAGAGCTGAGTTCAGGGGTCAGTTCTTCACTTACTATTCTGTTCTGGTTGTCTGCATTTCAGGAAGCATCTGGGTCCGGTCTGCCAGTGCCCAGGTGTGCTTGGTGGAGTAAGTCACCCAAGACAGCCCCTCTTTGCAGCTAAAAATGAGGGCTCCAGAGCCCTGCCACCTTGGCTGGGATTCTGGTCCACCATTTAGTGGTGGTAAAATTTAGGCAGGTGACTTGACTTTTGAGGCCTCCATACCTCATCTATATAATTTGGAAGAGAGTAATAACGACCACATAAGTTGTAGTGCAGAGTAAAGGAGGTAGTCCCTATAATGATCTTAAAACAGGCTTGGCAGCTGGTAATTACTCAACAATGTTAGCTATTAATATCAGTTTCCTCTAAGAATTTTCAGCAGACTCTACCTTTTCCTGTTTTAAAGCTTGTATTTCCTGGAATAAAGCCAGGCTGAATCCTAGAGAAACAATGACTCACAGCTGAGCACAAGCACAGTCCTGAAGGGGTCTCACTGCTAGATCTGATGGAGTAAAGAAAACCCCAGATGACAGTTTCCAATAAATGACAGTTTCTTTTCCAATAAAAAGAAATCCCTGGATGGCAGCTGTGTAGCAGGCTAGAAAACAGCCAGTTCGAATTAGAAAAGAACAAGAACACATTCAGGGCAAGAGAACATCTAAGAAGCTGGACAATGCTGGGCATCAAGGGAAGAAAGGATATGGCTCCCTTTTCCCAACCCCTAGTAAAAATAAAGAGAATATGACACTTGGGAAAAAGAGAAAATTGTGCAAGAAAAACATTGATTCTGAATAACTTAATAGAATAAGAAAGGAGTTACCATATCTTAACTTATTATAACGTTGAAAGTATTTGGTCACAAAGAGAGAGAAATGCAATCATACAATCCTATTTGTTTCCATACAGACAGTATTTGTACTTCATAATACTAAAAGTGTTGTCTTTCCGAGATTTTCAACTTTTACAGACATTTGTAGAGATAAAGCAGAAACACTTGATATGATTACACAACTGAAGGCAAACATTATCCAGAGTCAAGCAAAATGTAAAAATAATAATAAACTACAACTAAGTGGGGTTTATTCTGGGAACACAATAGAATAAAATCTGCTTCAAAATCAATAAAATCCACCATATTAATAGTCTAAAAAAGAAGAATCACATGATTACATCAATTGATACAGGAAAAGCATCTGACAAAATTCAATATCCATTCATGGCAAAAACTCTCAGCAAACTAAGAATAAAAGGGTACTTAAATAATCTGATTAAAAAAAAAAAACGAGCTAACATTGCACTTAGTGATAAAACATTTTCCCCTAAGATCAAGAACAAAACAGGGAGGTTCACTCTCACCATTTCCATCATAATGGAAATTCTAGCAAGTGCAATAATGTAAGACAAATAAATAAACAGCATAACAGATTGGGAAGGAGGAAATAAAAATTGTACCTCTTCTCAGTCAACATGATTTTCGATGTAGAAAACTCCTAGAACTGACAAGTGAGTTTAGTAAGGTCATAAGACAGCAGGCCAGTACGCATAACTATATACTGTACCAGCAAAAACCTGGAAATAGAAATTTAAAAAAATACCTTAAAATAGCTCCAAGTACAAAGGAAATACTTATGCATAAATCTAACAAAACACGCACAGCATATGGATTCTTAAAACCAAAAAATGCTAATGAAAGAAAGTAGACATCAATAAATGAAGAGATATGCTGTGTTCACGAATTATATCACATTGGAAAGATGTCAGTTTTTCCAAGGTTGATCTGTAGATTCAATGCAATTCCAATAAAATCCCAGTAAGATTTAAAAATAGCTATAGACATGCTAACTCTAAAATTTATATGGAAAGGTAAAGGAACTAGAATCATCAAAATGATTTTGCAAAAAAAAGTAAAGTTGGATGACTCATATTACCTGATTTTAGAACTTCCGATAAACCAGTAATCAAGATGGTATAGTCTGGCAAAGGAATAGACACAGAGATCAATGGAACAGAATAGAGAGTTCAGAAATAGATCCACACAATTATGGTCAATTGATTTTCGACAAAGATGCAAAAGCAATTTAATGGAGAAAGGACAGTCTTTTCATCAAATGGTATTGGACATCCGTATGCCAAAAGTGAAACAGCCTAAGCCTCGTATCTCATACATAAATTAGCTCAAAATGGATCAAAGGTCTAAACATAAAATGTAAAACAATAATGTTTCTTTAAAAGAGAACAAAAAAAATCTTTGTGACCTGGGTTAGGTAGAGAGTTCTTAGAAATGACACCAAAAACACAATGCATAAAAGAAAATACTATTAGACTGGGCGCAGTGGCTCACGCCTGTAATCCCAGCACTTTGCTCAAGGTGAGCAGATCACTTGAGGTGAGACGTTCGAGACCAAGCTGACCAACATAGCAAAACCCCGCCTCTTCTAAATATACAAAAATTAGCTGGGCATGGTGGCTGCTGCCTATAATTCCAGCTACTGGGGAGGCTGAGCCACAAGAATCACTTAAACATGGAAAGCGGAGGTTGCAGTGAGCCAAGATTGCGCCACTGCACTCCCACTCCGGCCTGGGTGACGATGGAGTGAGATTGTCTCAAACAAACAAACAAAAACTATTCAATTGGACTTTATAAAAAATTAAAACTTTGTTTTGGGGAAGACACTCTTAAGAGGATAAAAGGACAAGCTACAGATTGGGAGAGAATATTTTCAAATTGCAAATGCAATAAGGGACTTGTTTGCAAAATATATTAAAAACTCTGATAACTCAATAGTAAAAGACAAACAAAAACTCCAGTTAAAAAAAGGGCAAAAGACTTAAAGATACTTCACTAGAAAGGATATATAGAAGGCAAATAAGAACATGAAAAAATGTTTATTATCATTAGCCATTAGGGAAATGCAAGTTTATTAGACCATGATGTAATGCTACCACACATCTATTAGAGTGGCTAAACAAAGCCAAACAAAAACCCGACAACAGCACATGGTGACAAGAATGCAGTGCAACTGGAACTCTTATATATTGTTGGTGGGATTGTGAAATGGAACAGCCACTCTGACAAACAGTTTGACACTTTCTTTTTTTTTTTTTTTTTTTAATAAAGATGGGATTTCACCATGATTGGTTTTGAACTCCTGATCTCAGATGATCCACCCACCTCGGCCTCCCAAAGTGCTAGGATTACAGGCATAAGCCACCACGCCCGGCCTGACAATTTCTTATAAAGTTAAACATACACTTAACATATGACTCAGTAATATGACTCTGAGGTATTTATGATAGAAAAATAACGACTTATGTTCATATGAAAATGTATACATGGATGTTTAAATCAGCTTTATTCATAATTGCTCAAAACTGAAAACAACCAAAATGTCCTTCAGCAGGTGAGTGGATTAGTAAGCTGAGGACTGCTACCTGGCAATGGGATAATAATGATAATAAAGGAAGATCAGTGGCTGTAGGGATTAGGGGTGGAAGGAAGATGTGATTACAAATGGGTGGTGTGATGGAGTTGCGGGGGTGATGGAATTGCACTGTATCCTGATGGTGGTGGTAGTTACATGAATCTATGCATGTGTTGCAATTCACAGAGTTGTTACCCTCCCCTGCAAAAGTCAGTCTTACTGTATGTTAATTTCAAAATATATTTTAAAAAATAATACAGTTGAGAAAAATTGGGACATGGAAGATAGAAAAGAGATGTAGCAAGGGGTAGAGGCACCAACCACCTCTTTTCTCAAAACAGAGGGTGAAAGAATGCAAGCTGATCAAAAGGAGCAGAGGCTTAAATATATTATTTAAAGTTACAAAGGTAACCATGAAAGAAAGTAAAAATAGTGCCATAAGGATAAAAAAAAATAAGGGGGAAGCTGGGAAGGAAGAGAAGAGGCATAATTCAAGGAAGCTAAATCCTCATCGCTCATAGTAGCAAGTCAACAGATGATGTCTCAGTGTGATAAATAAAGAAATAACAGTGTTGGCATATTATTTAGAGATTGCAACTTAAACTCAACACACTGCAATAAGCTTATTATCTCTCGTACTTCCTGGCCAAAACAGTGAGCCCCATTAACAGACACAAACTACACTTGCAATGTTGCTCCTTTCAGTACTGACTCTTTGCACAGCTCATTTTTTAACCATGGACACATAAAAATTGGATATACCCACTGGGCCACTTGCTCAGTTCTAATTTCTTTTCATTTTCAGGACAGAGATGATGATAATATATCCCCAAGCCAACAAATGACCAGGCCTTTTCCAGCCCAAGTGGCCATCCTTGCCAACTGTCCCGTATCTCACTGACTCATTATCATTTCAGAGCCCTACAATGTCTTTTATAACATGAGAAGGTTTAAACATCTGGAAACAACAATGTCTGACATTTTCTTCTAGGAAAAAGAAGGAGCATCTCCCACAGCCTCATCTTGAACTCAAGTTTAGTTGTCTAATGGTCTAGTCTGAGCGCATGTGAGGCCTTTACAGAACAAGGTAAGTGGGCCAGGAGGTGCTGCCAGCAAGGAAGCTAAATGAATGTGTTCTGGGAAGGATAAGCCCCTTGAACTCTACCCCTCGGTGACCCACGGACACCATAGAGTGCCGAATGACCTCCCCTCCATGTCAGCACCCCACTGCGTGGCTGATTTATTGCAAAACACCTCCCGATAAATCTTCCCCAAACAACATCAGTCCCTCTTCTGAGTCATAATGTACAGTGGCTCTGTCTGGCTCAAATACACCTTTTCCATGAAGTATGTTCTGAAAACTCTGGTGAATATTTCTTTCATTTACCTGATTTTTCCCAAATAATGATGACAACAACAACAACAACAGTATCCTATAATTACAAACGTTTGCAGCTTATAAGTCCGTCCCTAGATATGGTGACATGTGAGTCTCCCAACAACCCTGAGGGGGAAGTGTCAGTTCCCTCATTTTTCACCACATAAGCCCAGTGACCCTGTATGCCAGGCATTCAGTCTGTTTTTGTTTGACTTTCTTGTTCTATTAAGCGCAACCATTCTGGTCTAAGTTCTTTACAAAGACAGACTCAGGCTTCTGCTCTTTAGGGGACAAATATCTATAATAAAGAAACAATAAACAAGCAATATCTAAATAAATAAACAAATGGCAAATAGAAGGTTGTATAAACTATTATGCTAACAGGTCACAATGAAGAGAAAACAAAGGAAAGGAGGCAGAAAGGCAGGACTAAGACTGTCCAGTACCCCTGCCACCACCCCCTTTCCCTGTTATTTAAGAAAAATCTGTCTTGTAAAGTTACATTTCGTTTCCTAGGAAAATGTTTGTTACATCCATATGTTCATGGACAAAAGGTCAAATATAAGCAAATATAGCAAATGAGTGCTCCCACACCATAATTTGCAAGAAAAGTATCAACTCTTCCATTCCTCCCAGAATCACCAGACTGAGGGTACTGCTCTCACACAACAAATATTCACTGAAAATCTGCTATGGGACAGGGTAGGGGGAAACCTAGACACTTCCATATATTACTTCCACAGTGCAGCTCAGGAATGAGCTGAAACACCCAGAATCTACTCAGTCTAACTCTGGGCCTTGCTGGCATTTATGCAGCATAGATAACTCCTTTAAGAATGAGCCAGTTGGAAACCTCAGGCCTGTGTTTCCAACTGGCTGCTGAACATCTTCATGTAAAGATCCCACTAGCACCTTAGTCTCAACACATCCAAAACCAAACTCATAATCTCTGCTCCTCCATCCCTCCCCACCACACGCAAACACACTCCTGTGCACCTCCTGTGATATGGAGCTCAGCAATATCTTCCAAGTCAACCAGACTTGACACCAACAATTCCCTGTATCAATAATTTGTCAATTTTCCCACCCACCAACTCTGCCTCCAAAGGTATCTCTGAGTCCTACCATCCTTTCTAGTTCTCCTACAACTTCTTGTGTTCACACTCTCTTCACTTCTCACCCATACCACTTAAACCACGGCTCCACTCCTAGCGATGGGAGTAGGTCATCCTCCGGGGGTTATCATAGTCTGTGTTGCCATAAAGGAATACCCGAGGTTGGGTAATTTATGAAGAAAAGAGAGGTTTATTTGGCTCACAGTCCTGCAGGCTGTGCAAGAAGCATGGGGCTAGCATCTGCTTCTGGTGGGGACTTCAGGCTGATTCCACTCATGGTGGAAGGCAAAATGGAGCCAGCATGTCCAGATCACATGGTAAGAGAGGAAGGAAGAGAGACAGGGGCAGGCATCAGGCTCTTCTTAACAACTAGCTCTGCAGGGGACTAATACAGCGAAAACTAACTCATGGGGCGCTGTCCCCATGACCCAACCACCTACTGTTAGGCCTCACCTCCAACACTGGGGATCACATTTCAAAATGAGGTTTGAGGAGACAAGTATCCAAACTACAGTACGTATATAGGTGGAAGTGGGAAGTTTGAGAGTCATGGATTAAAGGGTCTCCTAATGGGACTCTTCCTTTGAAAACTTTTCCTCACAAACTTTCAGATTGTTTCTCCAATTTGCTTCTCTAGATATAGATCAGACCTCCACAAACTTAGGTCAAAATTCACTAGGCATGGAGTTTAAGGCCTTCCAGAATCTGACCACAGTCCATGTTTCTACCCACCCACACACTATGGATGCCAACCACACATGCCTAGTTCTCCATTCCCTGTCCTGTCCACACACTTGGTGTCTCAAGGCCAATTCTCAGGCATTCCCTCTACCTGACACGGCTTTCACCTACTCTGTTCATTGAAATCACACTCAGCTTCCAAGGCCCAGCTTTGAAAGCTCTCTGAGGGAGCCCTAAATTAATCCTCGTTGACATTAACTAGTCCTTTCTGTGCATTTCCACTCTTGTAAACTTATGTAAAATAGCCATACATTTTATCAGTTTAATCCAGACAAGCAGATATCAGCTGGGGCTTTCCAAGCCCTTGACATCTAGAGGAACCTGGCTCAGACCTTCAGGTTCCTCTAGAACCTGACGCCCTCAGGAAGTACAACGCCTCCCAAAGACTTCTGCAATTTCAGGGGAGTTTGTGTCTCAGGGTCACATTTGCTTCCAGGTTCCTACTTTCATACATCCTGTCTCTGCTCTATTCCTCATGCTCTTAGAAATGCAGACCAAAACCTTCTGGGATAATCCCCACACCAAAACAAAACAAAACAAAAAGAAACCACAAAACATTCACATAAAGCATTCCTGATGAGAACTGTGTTGTTATTGAAATGTGGGTGGAGAACAGAAAGGCTCTCCCTCCCAAGCATCATCAACACCCTCACACTGAGCACTGGGCATCCCTGGCCCTCAAATGGCCTTTGATCTTCCCAACATGGAATTTCACCTGGCCCAGCTCTCCTTTAGTCCTGAACCTCAAACCAGTTTTCTAGTTCTTCTCTCTCAACTCCCTGCTCAACCGTCTTCTCGCTCTGCCCAGCCTCTTATGCATGGAGTGAATTCTTCCCCTTGTTTCCTGCAGTGTGGTTTATCCATTCTTACCGCTACTTTGTTCCTGCCCTCAGGTTCCAGCCCTACTTGCATAGTTCATGAAGATATTTACTCAAGGACACCTCCCTCCCTAGGAAGTGCCAGCTGCAGCCATCCTAGTTTCACGTCTTGACATGTATCTCTCTTCCTCAAGTAAGTTTCTTGAGGCAGGAATTATGTCTCAATCAACCCTTCCGGTACTCAGCATCATGTCTTATACATAATAAGCACTTGTAAAACTTCATTAAAATAAAATAGGTTCTTCAATGCAAAAAAAATACAGCGGGAGCTGAAAATAAAAGCAAGTATTTTTGTCATGAGAATCACAGAAGGGGCTCGCTGGCATACTTGAAGTGTGACTCATACAACATACCCTCCTTAATGACACTCTTTGTATATTAATAAAATGGGATCACCTCAGACCCTCCCTGAAAAATACAGTAGCATCTGTTTAAGTGAATGCCAGCCATTCTAAAAAGGAGCAGAAATAAATGGAAGGTCATGACAGCTGCAATGAATCAAAATAAAATGTAGGCTTTCGTTGTTCTTAGTCATCATTGGAAAGTCTTTATGACAAGTATGACAGGCAGAGAATTTTGCTTAATGGAACAGACCAACTCTGAGGAAGTGCGTTGTAACAGAAGAAGGGGGTGTATTTTTAGTTCACTTCTCTCGACTGTATTTTTGTCTTGCACCTCCTAAAATTAGGCCTGCTGATTGAGGCCATATGTAATGAGAGTGGCGTGGGCTGATGCAGCCATTGCTCTGAACTTAAGATATATCCCCATATACTGTCCTTTTGTGCTGATGGGCCTCTGCCTCCCTCGTGAAGTTAACCCACACCCTACAGAAGAGGCTAGAGCCTTGCTGGGAGTGGGGTGAGGGGAGAAGCCATTTAAAGACCACGAAGCATCTGGAAGTCACAAGACTCTTTGAGGAATTGAATATCAATGTACTTTAACAAACATCATCAACTGCCTTTGATGTGTCAGCTACTATTCTGATCTCTAGTATATTCCATTTCACTTTAAGAACGAAAAATACTTGTACTGTCAGAAAATCTGGCTATGTAATATGAGAAAATATGGCTATGTAATGATTGCAAAACACTTACCATAAAAAATTAATACATAAGTATTTTAAAGAAATCACATTAAAATGCCAATAATCTCTGGTATTCAGTCTGTTTATTTTGAGTAACAATAGGTTCATGCTGCAACAACTATGGAAAGGAGGGTTTTAAAGATGATGAATCTTTAAAAAATACAGAATGTAAGTCTTGATGTGCACAGTGGGAGAGGCTGTGCGTGTGTGGGGGCAGTGGGTGTGCGGGAACTCTCTGTACTCTTTGCTCAGTTTTGCTCTGAACCTAAAACTGCTCTAAAAAAGTCCATTTAAAAATTAAATCATATATACACACAGAGACATATTCAATGTTTACACAGGATAGTTTAAAGAAAATCATACTGTTAAAGCTCCACAGTCATCATCGTCCCTGGGCAAAGTCACTGGGTAGGAGGTGGGAGAATGTGGAAACCCTAGGTAACACCAATGGCCAATAGCAGCTGGGCCACAGGAAGCGGAGCTCTGAAAAGTGTGTCTTCTCCTTGAACTAGCAGACACATGCACTGAGCTTTCTGGTTTACTTTGTCAAAAAATAAATCAGACATCTTATAAACCAGAAAAAATAATCTGTAGTAGCCGAGTACTACATAAAGGGTTTGGGAAAACTTTGCAGGAGGAGAATTTTTTAAATCACTGTCCCAACTTTTTGTGGGATGAGTTGGGGCATAATGAAGTAAAAATCAAGAAAAATAAATTAATAGATTTATATTTTCCAAAAAGAATTGGGGACATGTTGCCATGATTCTTCTTAAGAGAAACAACTTAGTTTATCTTCTGAAATGCCAGATTACGGGGGAGCAAAGTTGAACTGCTCTATGTCACAGGTTGAGGGTGAGGAGAGGTGAGGGAGGTGGTTAGGGTGCAAGGTTAGGAAGGTGTGTGAGTGCCCAGGGAGGGCCCCAGCACTGCCTGCTCTGTGCTGGTGAGGAGGACAGCCATTTTAACTCGATCCCTTAATCACCAAGGTCTCTTATCACTCAATTTCCCCTCAGACTACATTCTTTGCTACAATGAATATATATTACTTGTTTATCTCTTCATATGTTTCATCTGAGGGCAGAGACAAATAAGGCTCCACTGATTTGAGTCTTCCGCAGCTTAGCATAGTGATTTGCAAAAAAAAAAAAACAGACATGGGAGTAACTTGTGTCTATTGACTGGTGGATTTTAAGCTTTGCTAATAAAATGACAAGAATGAAAAACTATTTATTCCTTAAGATTTCTGTGTTGCCCAGAAGGTTCTTCCATGACATGTATTCTACCTCACCAACCTTCTGTCTAAGGGTAGGATCCCATTTTCTATTACGAGCCATTGATCTGACAAGGTAAAATAAATATAAACCAATACATAAGAATGGTAATAAAGATGCAAGTTCAGTTTTTAAAGAGGTAACTAGGAAGTTTTGTTTGGTTTTTGTTTTGAGACAGGGTCTGATTCTGTTGCCCTGGCAATAGACTTCTGCTTTAGACTCCTGTGCAGCTGGGACAACAGACATGCCACCATGCTCAGCTAATTTTTTTTTTGGTACAGATGAGATTCATTTTGTTGCTCAGGCTATTCTTGAACTCCTGGACTAAGCAATCCTCCAGCCTTGGCCTCCCAAAGTGCTGGGATTACAGGTGTGAGACACTGTGCCTGGCCTGAAGTTTTTCATTTCTCAGAATTTTAAAGTAAGAAGGAAACTTATTAAATATGACCAGTGTTTAGGGGGAAATACCAAAGTTTTAAAGGATAGATTAGGCAGATATACAATAGGGGACAGAATGCAAAAGCATGAACAAATGAAAAAGGTATGTATAAACACTCCTGTATGCATGAATGAAGGTGGAAGGTGTGTGGGGTGGGGTAGATTTACAATGTAAAAAGACAGATTAGCAAAGCCTGTGAGGGAGATAGCTGTGTCTATGTTTATAGTCCTATCTACATATTTACATACATATCTGAGAAACTATAGTGTTTCTTTAAAAGAGAACACAGAAAAATCTTTGTGAACTGGGATTAGGTAGATTTCTTAAAAAAGACACCAAAAGCACAATGCAAAAAAATGTGTCTTCTCCTTGAATTAGTAGACACCTGCACTGAGCTTTCTGGTTTATTTTGTCAAAAAATAAATCAGACATCTTATAAATCAGAAAAAAAAATCTATAGTAGCCAAGTACTACATAAAGGGTTTGGGAAAACTTTGCAGAAGGAGAAAATACTATTAAAAGAAAATACTATTAGTCTGGGCACAGTGGTTCACACCTGTAATTCCAGCACTTTGGGAGGTTGAGGCGGGAAGATCACTTGAGGTCAGAAGTTCAAGACCAGCCTGGCCAACATGGCAAAACCCTGCCTCTACTAAATATACAAAAATTAGCTGGGCACGGTGGTAGGTGCCTGTAATTCCAGCTACTCAGGACGCAGAGGCACAAGAATCACTTGAACCTGGGAGGCGGAGGTTGCAATGAACCTCTCAAAAAGCATGTTCAGAGACAGAGATAGGGTTGCCAGATAAAATACAGAATTCACAGTTAAATCTGAGTTTCAGATAAACAACAAATAATTGACTTAGAATGAGTTTACTACACCCTTATACTAAAATAATTGTATATCCTTTAATTGAAATTCAAGTGTAAACAGGGTGTCTTATACTTTGATTTGCTTGCTCTGGCAACAAAGACAAAGTAATAAAGGGACAGTAGGGTGAGAAAAAAAAGCAACAAAGAAAGGGCAGCAGTGCGATGATTTGTAAAAGGTGGGATAACATTCACTTCTTGTGGTTTCTTTGGTACTTGTACTTTTGCAACTATCAGTCTACACTTAGACCCCCTGAGGCTAACCCTGAGTCTGCTCATTCACTCCAGCCATGACTGAGCCTTATCACTCCAGCAAGAGTCAATTAGAACAACAGTGGCTCCCTTAAAAGGGAGCCAACAGCTGCTGCATGGCATGTGAGAGAGACAATTTGCTTTGTGATTGCAGAAAGACTGTCCTATAATGAATGCTGAGACCATCCAAGGTTGCACGGAATTGACACAATTCTCCGTATAAGCTTCTAGAAATAGCAGTTATCTGTCCATTGATTCTGAATGCATTGCTACTGCGGCACACTCAGCAATTTAGGTCATTAGAAGCAAAGCCCTGAAAGGATCCTTCTAATCAGAGATTCGGCATTTTTCTAAACAGTAGACAGAACAAGACAAAACAAAGCAAGTAAGACCAAAACAAAACAGCGCAGAGCACAGACATGTGGGGGAAAGGATGTGTATCCACATGCACGTATGAGCACGAGGTGAAGATACAAGATGCAGATTCTGTACAGCAAACGCTGAATTCTGCCTCAAGAAAAATACGTTTACCCCTAAAAGCATTTCCTCAGGTTAACGGCAGCAGCTGAGAGAATGGAAGCTGAGATTTCATAGAGCTGAGGGAGCCTCAGGTGGTTTCTGCACACACCTGCTAAGAAAGGAATCATGCAACAGTTTGCTAGGGCTGCCATAACAAAGTACAAGAATGGAGTGGCTTAAACAGCAGACATTCATCTTCTCAGAACTGCAACCTTCACCTCCTGGGTTCAAGCAATTCCCCTGCCTCAGCCTCCCAAGTAGCTGGGATTACAGGAGTGCCCCACCACACCTGGCTAACTTTTTGTATTTTAGTAGAGACAGGGTTTCACCATGTTTGCCAGGATGGTCTCGAACTCCCGGCCTCGTGATCCACCCGCCTCAGCCTCCCAAAGTGCTGAGATGACAGGTGTGAGCCACTGCACCCGCCCTTATTTTCCTCTTCTTATAAGCATGCCCATCCATATGATTTCACTTTATCTTTTATTTATTTATTTATTTTTATTTTATTTATTTACTTATTTATTTTTAATTTTTAGTTCTGGGGTACATGTGCAGAATGTGTAGGTTTGTTACACAGGTAAAAGTGTGCCATGGTGGTTTGCTGCACCTGTCAACCCATCACCTAGTAAGCCCAGCATGCGTTAGCTATTTTTCCAAATGCTCTCCCTCCTGGGCCTGACAGGCCCCAGTGTGTGTTGTTCCTCCCTGTGTCCAC